AGATGGATGGAAATATGGATGGATAGATGGATGGATGGATGGATGGACAGATGGATGGAAATATGGATGGATGGATGTACAGACAGGTGGACAGATAGATGGACAGATGGATGAATGGGTGGATGTTAAGATGGATGAAGGAAAGATTGGTTAGATGGATAAATGAATAGAAGAAAGAAGAAGTCATAGAGGTAAAAGAAAAAAGATAAATGGGGGATGGAAGGACAGATGGAATGGACAGAAAGTCACTGCTGTCTGGAGGATGGGTGTAGAAAGGAAGAAGGGAGAGAAACACTAGTCACTGGGGGTCCCGTCCGGGGACTTACGACAGTACAGACACAAAACACGAGCAGACCACTGCACCCACCTCCCTCCCTGCACCCACCTCCCTCCCTGCATGGTGCTATTTTCAGCTCCCTGGACTGGACACCCACCTGTGCTAGCCACCACCCCCACCAGGCCTGCCAGGATCACTCACAGCCTTCCAGGCAGTACTCCACCAGGTACCCATCGATGCCGCCTGCCCCGATCCTGTTCGGAGGCCTCCACTTGAGTGTGGTGGTGGTGTCTGTCACATCCTCCACTATCAGGTGCAGGGGTTCACTCGTGGGTGCTGGAAGCATCCAGAAAAAAGAGGATATGGGGGAATGAGGGGTCAGGGGCCAGCAGGAAGGGGCAGGGGTCAGAGGTAGAATGATTGGTCAGAAGGCCAGGGTGTAGGGTCAGAGACTGATGATGGGCAAAAGATGGGCCAGAGGTGGACGGGGTTGATGGAACAGAGTGAGGGGGGACATTACCAATAGGCATGAAAGGCTTGGTGTTCATGCTGGGCTGGGAGACCCCTATGGCATTGACGGCGAAGACACGCATCTCATACAGGATGCCCTCGATCATCTTGGTGGACTCATAGGTGGTCTCCGTGAAGACCTCAAAGTTCAGCTTCATCCAGCGCTGAGAGCCCTTCTTCTTCCGCTCCAGGAGGTACCCTGGAGGCTCCAAGCAGAGAGGAGAAAAGGGAACGGGAGGGCACAGGGCACAAGTCAGCTGGGGGAGTGAGAGTCATATCCAGAGGATCGCATGACCCAGGGCGGTCTGAGGCCATGAATCTTAGGTGGATCTCAGGGGCCACAGAGCATTCAGAGGCCACCGGTCCTGGAGTCAGGAATCAAGAGGGGGTCACAGCTCATGAACCAGGGGGCCAGAAGCCATAGAAAAACGCAGGCTACTGGTCAAAGTGAGAATTCCCAGGTCACCAGCGAGTAAAGGAAGAGGGAAGAGCAAAGGGATTCAGATGGCAAAATGGAAAATCAGGGGTCAGAGGCAGGTCACTGAGGATGCTAAGGGCTTTGGGAGGTCAAGGAGAAAGCAGAGGCTGGCGCCGTGGCTGGCGCCTGTAATCCCAGCACTTTGGGAGCCTGAGGTGGGCAGATCACTTTAGGTCAGGAGTTCAAAACCGGCCTGGCCAACATGGTAAAACCCCATCTCTACTAAAAATACAAAAATTAGCCGGGCGTGGTGATGGGCACCTGTAATCCCAGTTACTTGGGAGGCTGAGGCAGGAGAATTGCTTGTACCCGGGAGGCAGAGGTTGCAGTGAGCCAAGATTGAGCCACTGCACTCCAACCTGGGCGATAGAGTGAGACTCCGTCTCAAAAAAAAACACCAAAAACAAAACAAAGCAAAAAAAAAAACGAAGGCAGAAGGATGGAAGGTCAGAGGTCATGAAGACAGAGGCACTCACCGGTGACCGGCTTCCCCCCATCGTACTTAGGTGGCTCCCAGACAAGGATGGCCCAATCCTCTCCAACCGAGGTGATACGCACGGCCTCCGGGGGGTCTGGGACATCTGCGGGGGGCAGGAGAGTCAGGTGGCCCCTCGGGGTCTCAGGGAGTCACCCCTTGGCCCGGCCACCTTGGCTTTCTTTGCTCACCCACAACCCGCAGGAAGATGGAAGCCACATCCTCGCCGACGGGGTTGGTGACCTTGATGGTATAGCGGCCCTCGTCTGTCCGCTCCGCGCTCTCAATCACAAAGCTGCTGCAGTCCGCCCGCTTCTCGATGCGGACCCTGCCCTCGGTGGTCGTGAATACCTGGACACAGCCACAAGATGGCCTTGCACCCCATCGTGTCCCCAAGCAAACCCAGGCCTGCCTCTGCCACTTCCCTGCTCAGAATCCTCCCGTGATTCCCCATCGACACACAGAGTCCTCACTCGCTCCACTGCCCTCCTCCACATGCCGTCCTTCGTTAAAAACACCAGACTGGGCCGGGTGCGGTGGCTCACACCTGTAATCCCAGCACTTTGGGAAGCCGAGGCGGGCAGATCAACTGAGGTTGGGAGTTTGCAACCAGCCTGGCCAACATGGTGAAACCCCGTCTCTACTAAAAATACAAAATTAGCCGGGCCTGGTGGTGCATGCCTGTAATCCCAGCTACTCAGGAGGCTGAGGCAGGAGAATCGCTTAAACCCAGGAGGCAGAGGTTGTGGTGAACCGAGATCGCACCACTGCACTCCAGCCTGGGCAACAAGAGCGAAACTCCATCTGGGAAAAAAAAAAAAAAAAGAAAAAAAAAAACAAAAAACAGACTGCCTTGTCCCAGAGATTTTGCAAGGCTGGTCACTGTGCATGCAACACTAAACTCTTACTCATCCTTCAGGACACACCCAGAAGACACCTCTTCCAGGAAACCTTCCTGGATACCCTCAGCTGGAAGTGCTGGCTCCAGCCCCTGGGTTCTCATAGCTTCTAGAACCTCCCTTTATCTCAGCCAGAGCACCCTGGACCGTGGCTGCTTGGGCAGGTGTTTGCGTCTCCACAAGAGTGAAGGCTCCTGAGCGGGACAAGGTGGCTCATGCCCGTAATCCCAGCACTTTGGGAGGCTGAGGCAGGAGTATCACTCAAGCCCAGGAGTTCAAGACCAGCGTGGGCAAAATAGTGAGACCCTGTCTCAAATTTAAAAATAAATAAATTTTAAGTAAAATGAAGGCTCTTGGAGGGCAGGAGCTGCATCCGACTCACGGTTGCATCCTCAGCACCTGGTGCAAAGGAAACTTTAGGGGATGTTTGCTGAGTGAGGGAATGGATGGATATTGAGTCAAGTCTATCCATTTTACAGAAGAGGAAATGGAAGCACAGTGGAGAAATGAAAAATCGAGCTGTCCCAGGGCCTGGGACATGCAAGGTTAAAATATTTGTTGGATGGATGGATATAGGAATATATAGATATGGCTGGGCATGTTGGCTCACGCCCATAATCCCAACACTTTGGGAGGCCAAAGTGGAAGGATCGCTTGAGCTCAGGAGTTCGAGACCAGCCTGGGCAACATGGCGAAACCCTGTCCCTACAAAAATACAAAAAATTAGCCAGGCATGGTGGTCCCAGCTACTCAAGAGGCTGAGGCGGGAGGATTACTTGAGCCTGGGAGGTGGAGGTTGCCGTAAGCCAAGACCATGCCACTGCACTCCAGCCTGGGTAACAGAGTGAGATTCCCCCTCTCAAAAATATAGATAGATAGATAGATAGATAGATAGATAGATAGATAGATAGATGGATACATACATACATACATACATTAGATAGATACATAGATGATAGATACATAGATGATAGATACATAGATAGATGATAGATAGGTACATTAGATAGATACATACATACATAGATACATTAGATAGGTACATAGATGATAGATACATACATAGATACATACCTACATATGTACATAGATACATAGATACATAGATAGATACATACATACATACATAGATACATACATACATAGATACATAGATAGATAGATACATAGATAGATAGATACATAGATAGATACATAGATAGATAGATAGATAGATAGATAGATAGATAGATAGATAGATAGATAGATAGATAGATAAGTGGGTAGATGTGTTTCTGGATGAATGGATAACTGGATTGGTTGATGGATAAATGGACAAACGGATTATTTACTGGATGAGTGGATGGCTGGGTGAATTAACCAATTAGTTGATGAAAAAGTCATCAGCTGGATGGGCGGATGAGTTACTGGATGGCTGGAAGGCTAAACTGGTCGATCGTTTGATTAATTAACTGAAAGATGAGTGGATGGAAAGGCCACCGTGTACTAGGCCCACACCTGTGATGGGCAAACATAACCTCCAATCTTCAAAACAACCCTGTGAAGAAGGAATCATCACCCTCATTTTACAGAGGATGAAACTGAGGCTCAGGGGGAAAGAGACTTGCCTAAAGGGAGTCAGGACAGAGGGGCGGCCCCGACCCACCTCATCTCCCTTCAGCCAAGTGGCGACGGGAGGGGGCTCCCCTGTGATGGTCACGTCCAGCCTCAGCTTGTTTCCAGCCACAACCACAATCGCATTCTCTGAGGTCTTCCCGGAGCAATCCAAGTGGATTTTTGGTGGTTCTGGTGGCACAGAAGAGATATGGGGACCCTGGAGGTGGGCGGCTGGGCCTTCCCAGTCGGCAGGAGAGGATCTCGGAAAAGTTGGGTTCCAACAGAGAGAGTCCCAGGGATCCAGGCCCCCAACCCCTCCTCCCTCAGACCCAGGGATCCAGGTCCCCAACCCCTCCTCCCTGAGACCCTACAGTCTAGGCCCCCAGCCCCTCCTCCCTCAGACCCAGGGGTC